AGGAAAAGGCCCAACGACAAAAGGTCGATGGAGTAATTGAAGTTAGAAAAGCTGACAAGAAATAAGCCTCCATGTGTGATTTGTTGGGGAGCTGAGTGGTGAGCCCCCTATAAAAGAGCCCAAAATACGGCACACTACACCTCTCTTTTGCTCACCTCCTCATATAAAGGCATTATGAAACATTGGTTTTACCTCTAAGGTATAAGGACTTGAATGTGATTTTCATCCTGTTGTACAATGAAATCTAAAGACAGATAGTGTTAGGTACATAGTAGGTAACAAATATTTGTGAATGAAAGGATGCTTGAGTATTAAATCTAACAACTTTCCTTCAATCTCAGGACCAGTACCATAATCTAAATCACCATCATCCTTTGTATATAATTTTCCTAATTGATCTGCTGCTGTCACTCTTCATGTTCATCCCACAACTCAATAGCCTATTTGTAAATTTAAGACCACCCTTTGGATTCTAGTCCATTAGCATACAATTAAAACTTATATTGCTTTGAAAACTATTTTCCTAGTTCTACAATTTAATTTGCTACTTCTTTGTCTCATTCTTCACTGCGACACCACATTCCCTGGCTTAGCATAATAGGTGCTCAGCAAATTAATGAAGGAATACATAGCAGATGAGTAGTCTGATGATGTCAAGGAGTGAAAGCATACAAAGTTTGTTTTACCCTATCTCTTCCCTTGAATTTAAATTATCAAGTAATCTACTCTTGGTGTTTCAACATTCTCACCTATCAATTAATCTTTACACTACTATGATCTAGTAGCTTTTTAAATACCTAACTGAAAATATTCATCTAGTTAGTAAACTAAATGGAGCATTCCTCTAGTTAATTAAATTTTGCCCTCAACATACTTTATAGTTTACTTCCCATTTTTTTATTCTGTGTTCAAGAGGTATTTGTTTATGTAGTTGATTTTCAAATTTGCCTTTATAAAATAGTCTTTTGAAGTATGTACTTTTCACTAAAACTGGCCTTTATAAAATAGTCTTTTGAAGTATGTACTTTTCACTAAAACTGGCTTTATTTCAGTTAATATATTATTTTGATATGCATAATTTATCTTTCAAATAAAATATTTTATAATGCTCCCTGTGAATTATTTTAAGGCTCAGATGATTCTAGAAGTATGTTTTAATTTTATCTTAGGAAAATTTTCTAGTCATCATTTTATTATTGATAGCTAACCCACTTCACTTGATTAGATGATATAATCAGTACTTAGTTTATAACTGATTTTAGTCCTTTATTGTAGTAGGTATTACTACTTACAGTTACAAACGTGACAAAACCTAGATTCACCTGGCAATAGGGATGCTCTATTCAATTGCCTCCATGGAATTGGCATATGACTTGACTAACAATAGGCATTTTGGGGGTGGGGTATGGGGTATTCCACTGTGGATGGCACCATGTATAGGCAGGACTTGCAGAGCATGAGGTGGCTATCATTCCTCCATAAGTTCTGATTTAAATTTCTGCTAAGATTCCTATCCTTTCTTTACTCAGTTATGGATTATGATCTATAAGTATAAGCCAAATAAGCCCTATCTCCCACAAAGTTGGTCAGTGTGTTCATTATAGATATGAGCACAGTAAATTTTTAAACCTATTGCTAAATTTACATCCTTAATGATTTTTTATCAATTGTTGAAAGATGTATATTAAAATTATTCATTATGATTACGGCTTTTTCTGTTTCTTCTGTTTGCTAATTTAATCGTTGTTTATTTGAGACCATGCTATCAGTTAGAAGTAATAATTCTGTGTATTTGTTTTTGTTTTTACATACATGTTATCACTGGCCTAGAACTCACTATGCAGTTCAAGCAGACCTTGTATCTTATAAAAAATCTCCTGTCTTGGCCTCCCAAGTATTGTAATTACAATTGTGATTCCACATGCTTGGATTTAGTAGCAGATTTTGAAAGGTCTACTTTCTCAAATATTAAAGGTGCTGAACTACCTCTTTGATTAACATTTTCATGGTATCTATCTATCTACTATTAATGTTAGGTTTCTGTATTCTCCTTATAATTATATGCATTGTAGGCAAGAAAGAATTGGATTTTATTTGGGTTTTTATTTCATCTGACAATTTTTGTCTTTTAATTAAAATCGTGTGTTTTTCTCTTTGTATCCTTTGCTGCTGCTTTTGGGGTTGATTGAGCATTTGTCATTAGACTTTCTTTAACATTCTTGCTCTCCATTCCCCTTTTTTTTATATCTGTTTTCTTTTTACTCTGTTTTCCTTCCTTCTGTTCATTTACTAGTTATGTTTTTAAAAATGTGCTAGTCTTTAATGACTATTTTTCCATTGTGCTAGTATTGTCAAGAAACTACAGAATCCATTCCTATAAAGCTCAGATCCAGCTTAAGAATTTTCTATACTGCCTTACAAAATTATCTTACAAGTTATTCAGATTTTGGGAGGAAATTAAAGTCATTTTCCATGTGTGTTTCTTACCTTTCTTATTACCAGAATCGCCCAGAGTGTTTGCTAACTATGCATAGTTTTCTGTTCCACTCCAAACCTTATTCGTCAGTGTCTTCAGTGGAGTTCACCAAGAATAAGCATTTCCCTTCCAAACCCTAGAATCCCATTATGATAAGGTAAAATTTGGGGGAGCCTTGGCAATATTAACACCTAAAAGAGGTTTCTGAACAACTTAAGACACACACAGATAATTACATCATTATAACGTTTGTGGTGCAAACTGCACTGTTTATGAGCTGAAATACCATCACAGTTCTATAATCAGCAAAACAACTGATTCTGAAGATAAAACTAGTTTCTACAGGAATAAAATTTATATAAGTTCAATATAAAAAGGCAATGTATGAGAAATGGTTTGTTTGTGTGCATGCATTAGTTTATCCCTCCCCCTGGTGTGTGTGTGTGTGTGTGTGTGTGTGTGTGTGTGTGTGTGTGTGTCCTTAGGCTACACAGATAAAATGTTCCTAAAGTGTAACTAGACATAAGATACAGGTCAGCCAGCAGTATAAGTTTTTGGGGTGCTTTTAAAAACCTTTGGTAAATTCAGCCAGGAACTCATTACACATATAAACTTCTCAAAGTAAACAGTATCTAATAATGCTATGGCTTTATATATAGGTATTCATAAGGAGTAAGATTGACACACTTTTTAAAAACTCTATCATAATAGTGTTTTCTATATCTTCACCAGCAGGTTTATGAGCTCTTGGGGGGCAGATTATGAAAAATCACTCATGTAGTCTAAATTAAATTTTGACTTGTTATTTTTTTAGTGGTATTCTCATAGAAGCTAACACTCTCTATATGGACTGACTCTCTATGTCTCTATATTGACAGATACGTTCCTCCTTTAGTTAGAATTTCAAACCAGGCACAATACTTCAGATCCTTCATGGGGCTGGGATGTAAACTGGGTCTTTCTTTCCAAACACACCCACACACTCAATTGCTTGGAATCTGAGAAAATACCGAGTCCCATCCCCCAAAAAAGGAATTTAATTGATGGTGAGGTGCAGTCAAGGTCTGGGAGTTTTGTAGAGTGTCTAGGTGATTCTAATGTGCAGGCAAGTTTGGAACCCACTAAACTGGAGATATTGAACTACAAAGTGGAAATATAAACCTCTAAGTAAGGTATAACTTTAGGTTTCTGTGCTAAAGTCAAGACTATGAGATCAGCCTAATTGAATCTACCAACATGCAATGTGCACACATAGGGCATGGAAGAGAAAAGGCAATGATTCTTACATTGTGGGTTAAGAACCTTTGGGGATAGAATGACCTTTTCACAGAGGTTACATATCAGATGGTCTGCATATCAGATATTTACATTATAATTCATAACAGTAGAAAAATTATATTATGAAGTAGCAATGAAATAATTTTATGGTTGGGGGTTACCACAGCACAAAGAACAGTTTTGAAAGATCACAGCATGAGGAAGGTTGACAAATAGTGACATGAAGTCAGATCAACTAGTGAAAAACATCAAATCAGTTATGTACTCACAGTCACATACAGGCAAATTATCAATATTTAACAAGGATTTGAAAATAACTGTCAGTTTGAAACTACTTGCACAATTAGAGGTGTTGGATAAATATCAGAGAGCCCAGAAAGATTTGGATTTCAGATTAACAACAAATAATTTCAGTATAATTATATGCTATGCATTATTTGAGATGTGTTTACATTAAAATATATTTACCTGGAAATCAAGTTTAACTGCGTGACTTCATGACTTGTAATCAACTAAACATGCTAATATTACCCTCCATTTTATTTTTAATATTTTTTTTTACATATCAATCCCAGTTCCCTCTAACTCTCATCCTCCTATGCCCCCCACAGACCCTCATCCCATTCCCCATCCACTCCCCAAGGAGGGTGAGGCCTTCAATGAGGGATCATCAAAGTCAGTCAAATTATTTGGGACAGGAACCAGACCCTACCCCATGTCACTAGGCTAAGGGAGTATCCCTCCATGGTGAATGGGCTCTTGAAATCTGTTCCTGCACAAGGGATACATCCTGGTTCCATTGACAGAGGTACCATAGACTTCCCAGGCCTCCTGAGACCCACATTCAAGGGGGTCTGGGGTTCAATGCTGCTTTCCCAGCTATCAGTCTGGGGTCTATGAGTTTCCCCTTGTTCAGGTCAGCTGTCTCTGTGGGTTTCTGTAGCCTGGTCTTGACCCCTCTGCTCATCACTCCTCCCTCTCTGCAACTGGATTCCAGGAGTTCGGCTCAGTATTTAGATGGGGGTGTCTGCTTCTGTTTCCTTCAATTATTCATTACCTACCATTTTAAAGGACTAGTTTGAGCAGTAATTTGTTAGGACAAAAATTAAGTTTATTTTCTTAATCATTATGTTCATTATGGGTTTATTTTTATTTTGTTTTGTTTTGTATTTTTTGTTGTTGTTGTTACATAGTGTGGTTAGCAAAATTCAAGGCTTCATGATTCTGTACTTAAAGGCAACCCTACCTTATTCTGCCTTTTCTGTCGTCTCCGCAGACGAAGGAACTCCTTATGTTGCCTGGAGACAAAGTTCACTGCTGCATATTCCAGTAAGGCAGCAAACACAAACAGAAGACACACTGCCATCCAGATGTCAATTGCCTTCACATAGGAGACCTGAGAAAGAGGATAGGGTGAGAGAAAAAGAAGGAAGCTATGAACACTTTCCAGAAAATCTAACTTTACATTATATGAATGGCACAAGTAATGGTCAAGTATTTTCTAGTCTTTAGAAATCTACTGTAACTGTAGTGCTGCAAGCAATGTCTACCGATAGAGTATTGGACGAAGAAATTACACATGCTCTCGTATGTGTGTGTGTGTGTGTTCTAATGCAACACACACAGAGATGAAATTGGAGGATACACTATCTTAAATGAACTGATGACCTCACTTGTGTAGAATTTGTAAATCTTTATCTCATAGAAGTTCAGAGTAGATTAGCAGCTGCCAGAGATTGGAAGAGGTGGAAAATGGATATAATGCTTCAGTTGGAGAATTAAACTCTAATTTTATAATTCAGAGGAAGATGAACGTAATTAACAATAATTTATCACATATTTCGAAATATTTAGAAAAGACAATTTTGAATCAACTTGCCAGAAAGAAACAGTAAAAGTTCAAGTTTTGGGGTATGCTAATGAATCTGAGTTTACTGTCACTTAATATATCCATGAATCACAATAGCACATCAAACTTCTGGTGTATTGGTCAGTAGTAGCTGTCACATTGAGCACAGGTGGGATTTAGGGTTCAGATTTCAGATTAAAGAAAATAATTACCAAACATCTCAGTATACCTCAGAAAAACAGCAATAAAGGTGCGGTTAACACTAAAAAGGTACAAAAGTCATGATATATATATATATATATATATATATATATGTGTGTGTGTGTGTGTGTGTGTGTGTGTGTGTGTGTGTGTGTGTGTGTATAAAACTGTTAAGCCCTATAACAATTGTATTATCCCATTTTCTGAGAAAGAAACTGGAGTAAAGAAGGTCTAAATTATCACCTAAAATCACAAAACTAAAACATGAAAGCCAAGGTTCAAGTTGATACAACATGATAACTAGTGGGTTTCTTTTCTGATCACACATAATACAGTTCCTAGAGTCACATAGCTTATAGCCTCCATCCCCTTTGACATTTATAGTATTCCCATTGCCATTTAAATTACTTCTAAATCATCATTTCCAATGCATGCACACATTATAAGACATTTAGGTTATTTTCAATTTCTCTCCACTGACTACAAATTTTGCTGCTGTGAGCATCTTTCCTCTCCAAATACCTGATTGTCTCTGTGCTTATTTGTTAGGCAAATTTTTGAATGCATTATGACAGGGAATAATATAAAAATAGTCTCTTTATTTAGAAAGTTAGCAGCAGCAGAGAGGGCAGGAGAGTACAAAGTCTATAGTGGAAGAAGTCCATTGCTACCGAATGTGTCTATTGTCTGTAAGTTTCTTCACTTGGTGACTCCATTTCTCAGCTGTCAAATATGAACAGTCATAGTACCAATCTCACGAAGGAGGTTGTGAAGATGTCATTTAATATATGTGAAGAGTCTAGAATAATGTCAAAGACAGATTAAGTGCTATAGAAAAGCTTGTAATTATTGGAGTACACATGGTTGTGATTTTGTTAATGGAAACAGGTTTTGGAAGAGAGAAATTAGCAAGGGAATGAACATACCTACATTCTTAATAGAATGTAGTTATTCTTTTTTTATTTGGGAGAGTTTCATATATGTATACTATATATTATTTCTACCTCTTCCCTTTCCTCTTTCCCTCCAACTACTCTTCTTAATTTCATGGCCTCTTCTTTTGAAATTTGTTCTCTCTCTCTCTCTCTCTCTCTCTCTCTCTTTCTCTCTCTCACACACACACACACACACACACATTTACTTACTCCTACTTAATCCACCTAGTGTTGCTCATGTACATATGTTTAGGGCTGAGCACTTGGGAATAAATAACCTATCAGGGGAGGGTGGGTTCCTGGAGAAGACTGACTCTCCTTCTCTTAGCAGTCATTAATTCCCTGTAGCTCCTCATCTAAGGGTGGGGCCTTGTAAAATTTCCCCACACACATTGGGAAGTCAACTGTTGTTGGCATTATGCAGGTATTCTTTAGGTCAACCATACTGTTGAGATTTCAGAAGCAGAGCTTCCCTGTCATGTTGTGAAGATACTGTCTTATAGCAGATGTTCTGACAGTGTACTTCTTTTTAAGATTGCTATCTACTTTATACTATTTATCTCAAACAGTTGGAACTACTTGTCAGTCCAACTTATACTGTACTGAGTTGTCCCAGTGCTTTGCCATTCTCTTCCCTAGGAATTTAACACTAGTTCTACCTGGGATGAGTATTCATATTTTGTCTGAGACCTTTCAGAATCTCTCAAAACCTGTCAGAAAAGCAAATTCTGCTAGGAAGCTTCCTTAAATCTTTCTCCTTTCTCTTTTCCGGATTAGGGGATTTTTTTATTCTCTTATTAAACTCCAATTAATTTAAATTTTTCTTAGTTACCTGTTTTTCTATCCCTATCAATAGAATGTACGCTTGTTTTGTATGTGTGTGACTGGATAAGTTGGTTGTTTTTAGCAGAATGACCCTGGGCAAAATTACTCTTTGTATTACCGACACAGAACATAACAAACCATGGGTAAAAGTAAATTGTGTATATACACATATGCGTGTAACAACAGTTAGTAGGAAAAGAGTCAATGAATTTGAAGGGGAGTGTGGAGGGGTATGTGAGAGGGTTTGGAGGGGAGAAATGGAAAGCAAAAAATGTTATTACATTAGAAACTAAGAAAGAATAATGTGGGGTAGATATATAGATACATAAATGATTGAATATGTGGATGAAAGAAGGAATAATCTAGCCATTTTGCATATTTTACATTAAATCAGATAATCCTAAAAGATGAGGTATTATCCATACATACCCACATATATCCTTCCTATATTAGGTGCTTATGAGTGGGATATAACAAGTTTTAAATTCTCTTAGTACACCTAAAATTCTAGAATGTTCTTCCTTGGTAAGCAGCAATTGGTCTTGTGCTTGCTCATCTGAAGCAATTCTATTCTATGATAATGGAATGTTACTAATCACAATATCCTGTTATATATTATCCAGATTGCCTGTAAATATTTTAAGATCTCATAATGAAGAGAATTTGTCACTGCCTGGGACATACTTATACAGCGAAGTCCAGTAGGGCTGACCATAATTCTCCTATTCCTGGTGTTTTAGCATTCAGGAATTCCTAAATCCCTTTCCTATCATCTGCAGCTCTGGCACATATTTGGCTTCTTTTATAGCTACCTATTAATGAATTCTTTCACTATCTTAATAATTTTGATTGGTCTCTCAGTTTCCTTCAAATTATGAAGCTCTTTTCAGCATTAAAGTGCTGGCATTGAATGCATTATTCACATGAAGTTAGAGGGCATAGGGAAATGTCTATTACATATGATCTGATGTCCCTTGGTGTTGCTCTTTCAGGATTTAAATTTCTTTTTGTTGGTTTTAACCCGCTCTAGTTTCAAATTCTCTCCTTTTGTCTGCTCATCCTTAGAAGGTTTTAGCTCACATCTTTTCCTGTCACATTCTTAAATGATTCTTGGCCTTACACGATCTCTTCCTAAACTACTTACTACAAACTTGCAGGAATAGTTTTTCAATGGCAATTCAGCTCTCAAAATGCTGCTATGGTTCACTAACTTGCATTCCTTAGAGGTATTTTAATTTTTTTAAGGAATGTAATTCTAGTTTTAGGATTTTGAAACAAGGACATTGGGATTCTAGGAATATATGTCATCATGGGAAGTCTCCTTTCAAGCAGATTTAATTATGCCAGCAAGATGCCTCAGCAGTTATAGCTATCTACTGATCAAGCTCTATGGCCTCACGTTGATACTATTCCAACTCCACAGTAGAAGAGAAACAACTCTAAAAATTGTCCTCTGACCTCCACCTCTACAGTGAAGTTTAGTACACATACACTGTCATGGTCAAACACACACACACACACACACACACACACACACGGAAGAGGGAAGGAGAGGGAGGGCTGGAGGGAGGGAAATTCCAATAATAATGGTAACAATAATAGTTTTGAAACAAGTAATTTCAGAAAAACAATTATTAAGAAATAACAGACATTTATAGCCTAGTGCTGTGTGAAAACCACTGTAGTAGGTGCTATTAAAGGTAAATCAGAAGATTCAAGATGACTAAGATGCTTATTGATTCTTCCCAGAAGTTCTCTGATTACACTTCTGGGGATTTTGTTCACGGAAGACCAGGAGCAGGAAATCATTGCTCAAGGGTCAGGTCTGACTCACTGGATGTCTGTGAAATATTTATTCAAACACTTAATACTTGCTTAGTTAGTTACATATTGCTTATGGCTACACTTATATTAAAATGGCGCAGCTGAGTGGCTGTGATGAAAATCAAATGACCTGCAGAACTTAAAACACTAAGTGCTTATTTATTGAAAATGTTTGCCAGTCCCTAGCCTTTAGGAGTTCAATGGCTAGAAGAAACTGTAAAGGCAAAGCCATGAACATAGACCATGTTGGGGAATCCAGTGATTTGTATATGTGGTGTATTTTAAGGGTGGGGTCATGATGACTGGTAGATAAACAGGTGTGCATTCCAGGCATAGAAGGCACCGAAGGCAAGCAGATAGAGTCAAGGTTTCTATATCCTCATAAAAATATTTTAATGATCATTTTCAAATGAGGTATAAGCATACAAGTCATCATAATTCCCATACACTTCTTTGTGTGCAAAAGCAAAGATATTATCTAAAGCCAATATTCTCTAATGGCTCTATCTATCCTCTTGACACTTTCAACTTCTACACAGGCCTGGTTCCCTTTCAGACTCTCTGACAATATATGCAATTCCCCTATGGGACATCTTTTTTTCATTTCTTCTGTCTCTTTAATGCGCTCTGCTTTAATTTCCACTCTATATTCATACTCTCAATAAACCCACCAACTTCTATAGATTTCATACTTCTGCATATTTGAGGGTGGTAGAAGTGTTGCTGTTGGTGGTGTTTATACTATAGCAAAGACTTTCGAATCTCATTTCCTGCACCAGTAAAACTAGATTTTCGAGTCCAGTTTTATATACAGTGGAATGTGGAGGAAACTATGCATGCTATTTGAGGGCCTCTAAAATATCCCTTAGGACATAACCTTTCTATATCTACCTTGAATGTCTTTCACTCAAGACGGCAGTACCATATGCTGAAGAAGCCAGGATCTCTCAAAGGCCCAGGGCCACCTGCTCCAGAGTAGAGTATAATATGAATGAGAAAGAATCTTCACTTGCACTCATCCACTGATTTCAGGTTTTTGTGTTTCCAAAGCCATCCTTCAGCCGTTACATCTGTGCACTTGTGCTAATTCTAAAATGTCTACAGCTATTATTTGCAGAGTCAGTTTAATTAAATGTCCCCTCATCCATTCATTTCATTAGAGTCCTCTCACTAGCAAGTCTGCTTTTACCGTTGATTATTTCCTTGCCTTTGCTCAGTCTGTTGTATAGAATTCACATTTCTATCTGCAAAGTACTGGTGGTGTTCACTCTTTACTTCTCATGCCAAAGATGTCATTACAGGGTCAGTCATTAAACTGGTAGATCTGACTATTTTAACAATAGGTCCCTTTGCATTCAGTATCTTCTAGTGGCACTTTTCCCTTTTGTTTCTATGGGATGAAATTGGAAACATGTACTTAAACATTACTATGGCTGTCTTTTGCAGGCTCTGGTATTCAAGTTTCTGTACAATATGTGTCTGTCCTAGTTATTTAACTTTATCCTACTCTTTCCTAACACAAACTTTGCACTTTGTTTAAGCAATTCTACTTACCGCTGAGGAAGCCAACACCATTCCTGTTATGACTCACTGTTTACACCAATGGTTCCCAAACTGAGGAAGTGATTTTGCACCTCAGGGCAAACCTAGTAATATCTGCAGATACTTTTACTTGTAACAACCACTGGGAGGTGCTACTAGTATGGGTCAGGAATGCTGCCAGACATCCTGAATTGCCCAAGATTTCCCAGCCACAAGTTCTTCAGCTCAAATGCTAGTAATTTAGAATGGAAAAATCCCAGTGTTAGGAAGGAAACTAAATTCACCCACCAACCTAGTACCTATGTCTGGTCCAGTGAATCCCAGTTAGGGGTGATGCTCCTCTCTAGGACACTTGGGAATATCTGAAGCTGAAGTGAAGGGCACAGGAAAAGAAATTATCGAGTTCTAAATGTGAGTTCTGTTATTAGATTTAGAAATCCTGCTTAGATTTTTTCACTGTGTAAATTCTCACATTTCTATTTATTTCCAGATAGTTACTTAAGGAATAGTTCAAATTTCTATCTTTGATATGATGCTTTCTCTGTCCATAGTGGTCTCACTCATCTTTAGGTTTTATAATGTATTTATAGTAGTTGACCTAGTTTAGTGTTCATGCATATGTGTTTTATCTATGCAACTGAAGTATAGAATATTTTCAGGATAAAAATTCAATACCTGTCTGTCTATGCCACGAGGACAAAGCTTCATTCCAGTTGTTAGGAAGTGCCCCATAAACTGGTTTGATTGACAAAATTTCAAATTTAATTCACCATCACTATTTTATATGAAGAATCAACTACAAAAAGAAAACTAAATGGAAGACAAATTTGAGTCATTCTAAAAATTATTATTATTATTATTATTATTATTATTATTATTATTATTATTTTAGAACCATGGCACCCCTAGTTACTCAGGAGGCTGAGACAGGAAGATCACTTGAGTTCAGTTCTGGGCTGTAGTGTGCTATGCCCACCAAGTGTCAGCACTAGGCTATAATGTGCTATGCCCACCAACTAACTAAAGCAGGGGACCACCAGGTAGTCTGGAGGATTGGTCCATGAAAATGGAGCATATCAAACCGCTTGAGCTGATCAGTAGGTTATGTAATTTAGAGACACTAGCTAATGGTGTTCATGTTATTCTGAACTTGTTTTCATTAGGGGAGGTAATATTTATTGTGTTTTACAGCTTTATAGCTCATATACTTTACAGACTTATGGAAAAGTAGAGGTAACTGGGTGGTTTAGGTTTTATTGGTTCTAGGTAAGCACCTATCTGTTGTACTAACTGTTGTTTTGGCATCATGTTAACATTTGTTAGAGGTAGTTCTCATTGATGATTTTTGAATACTTTTGATGTTTATGAAAACTTGAGAAAGTTTTGTAGAAGCTAGTGTCTCACTGATTGCATATTCAACTCAATTTCAAAGTACAAAACCAAGTCATGAGCTTCTTATTTGCCTGCATCCTACAATTTGTTTTCTGTACTCAGATGCAACAACATTTCCCAAGACAAGAGGCCACTTGTTTATGAGTTAGGATATTTCCTACCCCACACAGATCACCAGGACAGAATCATGGGTAATCATTTCACAAGAACTACTTTCTTCATTCCTCAGGCAAGTGTTCCCATATGACAGGGTGCCAATTAATGTGCCAATTAAAGTGTATTCCTAGCCACTAGGCTGACCCCAGAGAGCTGTGTCATTCTTCTAGAAGCCAATAAAGGAGATTGTTTATGAACATGTAGAGAGAAGGTTCCTGTAGTGGAGAAAATTCACAAGTAACTAGGATCAACCAAGCATTAGTTTTAACAGAAAAGAAACATATTGGGATTCATAGGACAATCTCAATGTTCCCAGCTAGTTTTCTTGTGTGTGTGTGTGTGTGTGTGTGTGTGTGTGTGTGTGTGCAGCAGAGATACACATGTCTGTGTGCACATATCTGGAGGCCAGAGAAGAAAGTATGGGGTCTTCCTCTATCACTCTCCACCTTATTCTCCTGTGAAAGAGTCTTTCACTGATCCTGAAGCTTACTGTTTCAGCTAGGATGCTGGGGAAGCCAGCAAGATCCAAGTATCTAAATGTCTCTGTCTTTCAACATTTGGATAGCACATGTGTATCACCAAACTTGTCTTTTATATGGGTACTAGTGATTTTGAGCTCCTGTTTTCACAGCAAGTACCCCCATCCGCTGAACCATCTCTCCATCACTAGTTTTCTTTCTGAGCAGTTACCCTTCATAACCTCCTGCTTCGGTTATATTATTCCCAAACTACACAAAAATTGGTACCAAGCCAAACCAGAGGCTTTTCTGATCTGCACAAAATAATTTCATTTTATCGAACTTTGAAGAGAAAACTTAGAGATGAACTTTGATTAATGCTTGTTGAAATGAAGTCTACCTGTTGGCCAGAGTAGCCTCAGATATGCTCCTACTGTATATGCAGTAAAAAAAAAAAAAATGTTATCTCTAATCAATTCATGTTTTGCTTGGTGTTATGAAGTACCAGCACTAACTCCACCACAATTTCATGAATGGAAAGTGAGTTTATTAAATACACAGCAAAACCATATAACATCAGAAATCAACAAACATGGAAAGAAGAATTCTGGCTTTGCTTTTTGCTTTTGTCTCTTATCTATACTCACCAATTTTATCATCAAAAATAGACAGTTAAATTAACTGTGGTCCCAAAAGTTTCATGATGTTGTACAATTTTGTCTTTATAGTTTCAGGGCCAGGTTGTGAATTTTATTGCCTAATTAAAACTGCTTACACCTGCTGTTTAATGCAGAAAAATCAGATTTCCTTGGCAAAGACATATAGTGGCAGAGCCGACTATCTGGTCTATGCCAGCATCCTAACTAACCCTCATGCATTTTCACTTCATAGCTGATATTCTTGTTAGAGTCTTGGCAAAGCAAAGCAAACAATACAGCTCTTATGAAAGTGTGGTTTGCATAAATAGCCATTGGGTGGCAGTACCTTCAAACCTGCCATCTGAATAAACCAGTCATAGATAGTCCTGGAAACCTTTTGGGATCAATTTATTTGGCATTGGGTGCTATGCAGGTCTAGTTAGCTGATACTGTTTATGAGTATGTTTCTCTCCATTGTACAAATAAGGAAACTGTTCAAAGTGGCTGAAGGAAGCCATATATCCATGTGAGTTTTGAAGAGGGAAGTGGTTCTAGAAGAGTACAATTGTTCATCCCCCCCAAACATACAAGAAATACCAGGCAATATTCACTGCACTGTAGTGTCACCCTACAGAAATGCTCTCTCAATTTTGTAAATAAGGCATCTGAGGATGCCAAAGCAAGACAGGACTTGCATCCAGAGAAAGGGGAAGACACAGGACTCAAGAAAATCTTCCCTGTGCTTGTATTTGCTACATTCCATATCATTCTCACCTAATAAGATTACTACCACTTCATACTTCCTATGACTGCACCTTCAGATGCAAAATGTGGATGCATGTTTCTTCTCCAATATAGCAGAGAAATAAGTGGGATATGCATAGCTAATTGGCCACTATTAGAAAAATAAGAGGAAATTTGAAGAAAATGGCAAGCTATATTGTGTCAATATGAGAAAGATGATATTAAAGAATGGCAAGATGATACCCTTTTAAATAGAATAGATATCCATTTATCCACTGTGTGTGTGTGTGGGGGTGGATGGTAAGCATATGAAGGTTTGGCCAACTAGTATTTTAATCCTGGCCAAATAATCAATGAAAATGGAAAATGGCTTAATCTTTTGGAATCTCAGTTTCTTCATATTGAGGTAGTGAGTCAATGAATTTCAGTCCGATGGCGTCAGTGAAGGATTGAGTAAGGTACTTTTTGTAAATCTTAACACTCATATGGCACTTTGTGAATGCTCAGTCTCAATGGTTTGCAATGGAGGACCTTCTGATGGCATTGCCTGAAATAAATCTTGCATAATTCAAGGTGATAATCCCCAAGGGAATAAATGTAAAATACAATATGTTGCATTTCATGTTCTATGACTCCATTAAGTCTGTATTAATAATTTTCTTTTGTATTATTTAAAATTCACATAATCTAAGTTCACAAAGAGGGGATTCTCATTGTAGTAAACATCCTGTATGTCATAATACCTGATATACTGTTATAAAGAAATCCACAAGTAAACACTGAGTCGAACTAAAATCCAGATACAGAGGGAGAGGACAAGACCAGTTTGCAGAAACACTTAGAGACAGCTGACCTGAACATGGAGGAGCTAACTGGCTCCCAGACTGATAGCTGGGAATCCAGCATGGGACTGACTGACTCATAACCCCTGATTATGGGTCTCAGCTAGAAGGCCTGAACAGTCTAAGGGACCTCATACAGTGGAACCAGGATGTATTCCTGGTGCACAAAAGCACCTTGCAGACACATCCCCCATGGAGGGATACTGCCTTAACCTAGAGGCAGGAGCCAAGTCCTAGTACCTATTTCAAATGACTTGACAGATTTATATGACCCCACCTGCATGGTATTGCCCTACATGTGGAATTGGGGTGGGGGGATGGGAGGGAAGGGTGGTCAGGGTGCATGTGAGGGGGCAGAGAGGATAAGAGGGAGGGAGGCAGGGAGAGTGGGGAGGAGGGAGGGAGGAAGAGGGAACTGGGATCCACATGTTAAAAAAAAAAAAAACAAAACAACAACTTTCACCACACAGCTCTGATTTATTTATGTCTTACTGCATTGACAAATGAGTTGCTTTTTTACTTTACCAAAATTCATGTGGCCAATGTTTGAGCTTCAATTCATAATTAACCTGGATTGACCTCAAACTATGCTGAGCTAGTTCATTGACCTTGGGGGACCCTCTGTCTCTCTGGTGGTGAGTCTGGAATTGCCCACAGACTGTGGTTTCACTCAGGGACACCATCTACAGTGAAGGAAAGATGAGAAAGTGCATGCAATGGCATGGGAATGTAAGAAGCAGAATTGTTAACCTGTAGCCACAGAAGATCATGAATGTTCAAAGATGAGAACAGTGACCATGTGC